TTTTGCCTGATTATACCTGAGCTTTTTTTGTTTTGCAATTTTGAATTGCAATTTATTGATCTTATTTATGAAATAACTTTACAGTGGAGTCCTTACCATTACATTATATGGGTCGGTGTTTTAGCATTTATTTGTGTACAATCATTATGTATCAACATGTATTAATATATTAGTTTTAATTCAAATATGACACAACCTGTAAAAACTGTGTAGAGGTGGAGTCTGACCTCCTCTCTCTTCACAGGAGGGAAGGAGAATCAAGATAAACAGCACAAGACTGATTCCTATGAGGTGAAGGTCAGACATGCCCCCTCTCTCCACCATATTTACCAACTCTGACACCAACCACCCCTCCCACAGCACTCTCTACTTCTCTGCTGTGTTCGGTAATACGTTGCAATGGCCAAACAGAACTCATAGACGATACTCACGAGTATAGGGTTTATTAGGGAAGTAACAGGTTACAATTCAGACTCAGGAACTCTCAGGATACAGTTCCTCCATCAGGACAGCTATTTGCAGCTGTGCTGCAGGCACGCCTCTCTCTGGACCCTTGGTCTCTGCCTCGCTCATGCAAGAGTTACAAAGCTCTTTTAGCTCTGTTGATAATTGCCCAGATGCACCCTACTCTTTCAGTAAGCCTCAGCCCAAGGGCACTCAGCTTTCTTGCTCCGTGGACCAGGAAGCCCACTTTGCTGACTCCTACCACCATTTCTCTGCCACCACTTCTTTGGCTGTCCTTCCTTGGTAGCAGTGGGGTCCTCTCTCTCCTGCCTCTGGGATGGCCCACCTCAAGCACAGCAGGATGGCAAAAACTGACCAATCCCTTTGGTGGGCCACAATTACCCTATCTGAATAAAACTATTGCTGTCGAGTCGATTCAGACTCATAGCAACACTATAGGACAGAGGAGAACCGCCCCATAGAGTTTCCAAGGTTAACAGCCATAGCTCTTAACCAGTAAGCCACCAGGGTTTCCCCTATCTGCATAGTCCCACCCAATCACCTAAGTGGGGGTTACAAGACCATGGCAAGAAAGACCACACAAAATCCATCCATTGCACCACACAACCACATATCTACACCAAGTGGTATGTGCTTTAGGATGGTGGTGAACAAATACTCCATCTCTTAGGGCTCATTCTTGTTATTCACTGCATCAAGTTGCCTCCAACTCATGGTGTAACAGAATGAAACATTGCCCAGTCCTGCAGCATCCTTACATTCATTGGTGGGTTTGAGTCCATTGTTGCAAAGATTATGTCAATCTATCTCTTTAAGGGTTTCCCTTGTTGCAACCTGGATAAGAAAGCCCCATTCACATTCCAACCCAATGTAGTGGAAATTTTAGAATCCTACTATTCTTTTCCCAACTGTAAGGATATAACAAATCCCCACTTTCTATTTCTCTGTTCATTTCTGACACCAGGTACTCACAAAGCACTTGTCTCTCTGATGTCTGCCATCTGGGATTAGGTCAGATCTTACCAGTTAAAAGGACACTGTCCTTCAGACTGCCAAATAGGCAGATGCCAGCTGAAAGCTCAGGTGTCCACACAAAACTCTTACTTCTGACATGGTTGTGGCTTCAACTTTGAAGTTTTCCTACTACCCCTTCAGGATGTCAGCAGCAGGCTTGTTAGCCTTCTCCAGACTCCTTCACTTTCACCCGCTGGCCTGGGTTTCATAATTCGCTGGAACAAAGCACAGATTTCATGGAAATTGCTATACTTATGAATGCAGGTATATTATAGCAAAGGAACCACATAAAGAAAGAGCACATGGAGTTCCCCAGTGCGAAGCTTCCATGTCCCAAAAGGGCACACTACCATCCCACGTATATTGATACCTTTTACCTATTAGGAAGCTAATAGAACTTACGTGTCAAGTGGCATTATTGGCATCATTACATATTTATGATTGAAGCCTCATTGCATGTGAATGATTTATTGAATCATGTCCCCCTTTCTTCCTGATTGGCAACATGCTTTTCTTTCTGGCTTGGCCAGTCCCCATTCATTTGCACAAATCCTCAGGTATAGTCGTTAGGCCTTGTCTTAGTCATCTAGTACTACGTAACAGAAATATCACAAGTGGATGACTTTAACAAACAGCAGTTTATTCTCTCACAGTCTAGTAGGCTAGAAGTCCAAATTCAGGGTGTCAGCCCCAGGAGAAGCTGTTGGCTCTGGAGGAAGGTCTTTGCCATTAACCTTGCCCTGGACTAGGAGCTTCTCCACCCAAGGAAACCCGGGTCCAAAGGACATGCTCTGCTCCCAGCGCTGCTTTCTTGGTGGTATGAGGTCCCTCCTCTCTGCTCGCTTCCCTTTCCTTTTATCTCTTGTAAGATAAAAGGTGGTGCAGGCCACACCCCGGGAAAACTCCCTTTACATTGAATCAGGGATGTGATCTGAGCAGGGGTGTTACATCTCACCCTGATCCTCTTTAACACAATCTAATCTTGCCTCATTAACCACAGACACAGACTTTGTTATGACTGATAATACTGAGCTTCTTTCATCATGTTTTTCCACAGATGTAGTCGTATTAATTCCTGTGTAATACATTTAGAGGGGTCCATGTGTATAGTCGTCGATTTTGTTGCTGGAAAAAAAGTGTTTCTGATGAGTAAGTAGTTATTCTCACGGAAATCTATCATGCTATCTTTGGCGTCATTCCTGTCTCCATGGCCGTATTTTCCAACTACTGTTTCTTCTTGTTTCCATTTGTCTTAGTTATCTAGTGCTGCTATAACAGATATACCAAAAGTGAATGACTTTAACAAACAAAAATGTATTTTCTCACAGTTTATGAGGCTAGAAATCCAAATTGAGGGTGCCAGCTCTAGAGAAAGGCTTTCTCTCTCTGTTGGCTCAGGAGGAAGGTCCTTGTCTCTTCAGCTTCTGTTTCCTGGTTCCTTGGAGATCTCCATGTGTCTTGGTATCTATCTTACTCCATCTCTATTCTGCTTGCTTGTTTAATCTCTCTATATCTGAAAAGAGACTGACTCAAGATACACCCTACACTAATCCAGCCTCATTAACTTAACAAACACAACCCATTCCTAACTCAGATTATAACCACAGGCATAAAAATAAAATAAAAAACCCGTTGCCATTGAGTCTATTACGACTCATAGCCACTGTATGACAAAAAAACTAAACCCTTTGCTGTCCAGTCAATTCCAACTCATAGCGACCCTAATAGGACAGAGTAGAACTGCCCCATACGGTTTCCTAGGAGCAGTTGGTGGATTTGAACTGCCAACCTTTTGGCTAGCAGCCAAGCTCTTAACCACTGTGCCACCCTATAAGACATAGTAGAACTGCTCTATAGGGTTTCCAACGCTATAATCTTTATGGAAGCAGAATGGCACATCTTTCACCCACAGAGCAACTGGTAGATTTTTTGAACCGCTGACATTTGGGTTAGTAGCCAAGCAATTAACCCCTTTGCCACTGGGGCTCCTTATGACAGGCATTGAGGTTAGCATTTACAACACATATGTTGGGGGAATAAAATTCAATCCATAACACCAACTTTGCATTCCAACCACCAGTAATGATCTACACATCTTGATTGCATGTTGATTAAATTTCAGAGTGCATCAGTTTGTAATTATCTTGAATTTCTTCGTCTTTGTCATTCATGATTGATACGTAAATTTGAATACACCCTCTGCTCACTTATTGTCATGGTTAAGTTCCAAACACCAGGTCATTGTGCGAAATCGATGTTATGCAAAAATGGAGGATGAATGCATCAGATCACAAAATGGTGGCTGACTATATTATATAACTGCCAAATTATATCATTACATAACTATCAAACCACTGACAATGATGGCCCAGGCAAGTTAACAATCTTAACCATCACTGCCAGAGTTACTCTCGCCTCATATGTTGGTGTTCGTTAGTGACAGAGGTATGTCATTAAGGCACAAAATAGTTGGAGCACAGATTTTTTAGTATTGTTGTAAAAGCAAAATGTTAGATAATGAGGCAGTTAATAAGTGAGAAGGTGTAATAGTCATGTTAACTCCTCTTCCTTGAAGCGTGTGAATATTAACCTATCACTGAAGCCTTGTAATTCAGGAGAGATGTTAAAATGTTTTTTGATGATTAATGTAACGCCATTTCTCTTCAATTATTCATTCATGGAATAATAGACCACACGATTGTAACAGTCAAAATGGCCAATACCAGTCCATTTCTACTCGATAATGCCTAGGGTATCTATCTTCCAACATTCTATTTCATTTTTTATGACTTTCAGTGTTTCCTAATTCATACTTTGTTCATTCCAAGTTATGCTTAGTAATGGATGTTTGCAGCTGTTACTTCTCAATGTGAGTTGTGCCACATAAGCAAACGAGGGTTCCAAAGGCTCTGCCCTATCTGTGTCATTAAGGTCGACTCTACTTCGAGGAGGCAGCTCTTCCCTAGTCATAGTTTGAGCGCTTTTTAACATGAAGGGCTCATCTTCCAGCACTAATCTCTGAAAATATTCTCCTGTTAGGTATAAGATTTTTATCAGATACTTTTTAGAAACAGATAACCAGGTGCTTCTTCCTAGTCTGTCTTAGCCTCCAAGTTACGCTGAATGGTGTCTACATTGGGTGACCCTGCCAGTATTTGAAATACAGGTAGCATAGTTTCCACTACCACAGCAACACATAATCCACCACAGAATCCCACCAGTCATCTGTTTCTCTTAAGGCTTATGTTCTTTACCTAGCATGAGTGGTATGGTCGTGTGTATTTAAAACTCAACTTCCCTGAAAATGATAAGAATTACATGTCATCATCCTTTCTTTATTGAGAAATCCTACAAATTTTGTGTTCCTAAACATTTGAAGATCATAGTGGAGAAGTTTCAAAATTCTCCTTATTATATATATTCATATTGGTGTAAAATTATGTTTTGGGATATAAAATACTTTCTAACTGTTGTTAATAGGAAATTTATGATTCTTTATATTTTTTAGATATCTTTTCTGCATGTGTGATCAAGGAATATCAGAAAAAGAGATCACTGATAAAGGAGAATTATTCCAGAGAGTGATGTTGGAAAGAAATGAAAGTCATGGCAGTGAGGATTTTCACTTCAGGCAAGTCAAGGAAAATGTGCATGAGTTTGAGGGTCAGTGGGGAGAAGATGAAAGAAAGGACAAAGTAGTGATTATACCCCATAACAAAATTTTCACCAGTAGAAGAGATCAACGTGTTAAAAGAGATGCAGGAAACAAGTATATGACATGTTTCAAAAATACAATTGAATTACCCTTTCAGTCCCATGTGGCTGAAATGCAGAAATTTCACACTGGAGAGAAAATGTATGAATGTCACCAAGTGGAGACCACTGTAAGCAATGCATCTTCAATTCCATCCCTTCAAAGAATTCCTCCTAGTGTCCAAAGCAACATTTCTAATGAATGTGGGGAGGTTTTCATGCCTTCTTCATGGTTTCTACAACACCAGAAAACCCACAGCAAAGAAAAATCTTACAAATGTAATGAATGTGGGAAGTTGTTTAGCCAATGGTCGTCAGTGTATACTAATCATCAGAGAATTCACTGTGTGCAGAGACCTTACAAAGGCAATGAGGGTGTCAAAACCGTTTACTGTGGCTCAGACCCCACTAAACATCACAGCATCCATACCAGAGAGAAACCATGTACATGTAATGTATGTGGTGAGGTATTTAGTCTATGATTAAGACTTAAAACTCATTAGAGATTTCATACTGGAAAGAAACCTTACAAATGTAAAGAATGTGGTAAGGAATTTATGAGATGTTCATACCTGTGGGGTCATAAGAGATTTCATAGTGGAGAGAAACCTTACAAATGTGATGAGTGTCGTAAAACTTTTAACTGTGATTCACAGCTCATTACACATCAGAGAGTCCATATTACACATCAAAGACTCCATAATGGAGAGAAACCATATAGATGTAATATATGTGGCAAGGTCTTTAGTCTAAGTTCAAGTCTTGCAACTCATCAGAGAATTCATAGTGGAGAGAAGCCTTACAAATGTATTGAATGTGGTAGGGCTTTTTCTTATAGATCAAATCTTGGGAAACATCAGCAAATTCATAGTGGAGGGAAACCTTACAAATGAATGTGGTAAGGCTTTTTCTGGAAGATCAAGACTTGTGGAACATCAGCGAATTCATAGTGGAGAGAAACCTTACAAATGTAATGAATGTGGCAAAACCTTTAATTTGGGCTCAAGTCTCACTAAACATCAGAGAATCCATACTGGGGAGAAACTATATAAATGTAATGTATGTGGTAAGGTCTTTAGTTGACGTTCAGGCCTTACATGTCACCAGACAATTCATAGCGGACAGAAACCTTACAAATGCAATGAATGTGGTATGACTTTTACCCAGAAATCAAGTCTTGTGGAACATCAGCAAATACATAGTGGAGAGAAACCTTATAAATGCAAGGAATGTGCTAAGACTTTTAGAAGTTGATAAGTCTTTTGGAAATATAAGATAATTCATACTGAAGAGAAATCTTACAAATGTATTGATTGTGGTAAGGCTTTTATCCAAAAATCAGGTCTTTTGGAACATCAACAAATTCATAGTGGAGAGAAACCTTACAAATGTAATGAATGTGGTAAGGCTTTTACTCGAAAATCAGATCTTTTGAAACATCAAAAAATTCATAGTGGAGAGAAACCTTACCAAAGTAATGAATGTGGTAAGGCTTTTCCCCAAAGATCGTATCTTGTGCTACATCAGCGAATTCATAGTGGAGAGAAACCTTGTAAATGTAATGAATATGGCAGGACTTTTTCTAGTCCATCAATCCTTTGGGATTATATGGAAATTCATACTGGAGAGGAAAAGTGCAAATGCAATGAATATGGGAAAAATCATTAAGTGGGGCTCAAATCTCCCTAGACATCAGAGAATCCATACTGGAGAAAAACAATATTAATGTAATATATGTGACAAGGGCTGTAGTCGTCATGAAAGCCTTACAAATCATCAGAGAATTGATACTGGCGAGAATAATTACAAACACACCAAATGTGGGAAAGCCTTTAACTGGGGTTCAAAACTCTCTAAACATCAGAGAATTCATACTCTAGATAAACCTTAGAAATGTTATGAGTGTGATAAGGCTTTTATCCAAATATCAAATCTTGTGGAACTTCAGAAAATTCTTAGTAGAGAAAAAACTTTCCAGTGTAATAAGTGGCATAGCAAACCTTTACATGGGTGTCAGTGCTCCTTAAACAACACTGAATGTATACCAGAATGAAACCATATAAATATAGGGTATATGGCAAGGTAACTATTCCAAATTAACAACTTACAAATCATCTGAGAATTCATACTGGAGAGAAACCTTAGAAATGTAAGTAATTTGGTAAAACATTTAACTAATTCTCAAAATGGACTACACATTAGAATACATACTAGGGAGAAATAAGTCTCTAGTCCTCAAAGGTTAATCAACCTCAGATGTTACATTCTACTGTGTAATTAAAGGTCAAGGTCTGTTAAAACTCATGAGATGATATTTGTGAAGGAGCAAAGACATTAGTGTAAATGTCTAGTTATCTTCAGTCAATTAAATATTTTTATTCAGTTATATGAAGTTTCTTGAAAAGACTGCATTATTTATGACTTTTTACCTGAGGTTTGAAATATCTTGCTCTTATACCTTCTTTATCTACCTTTCACATTGTCTTAGTCATCTAGTGCTGCTGTAACAGAAATACCACAAGTGGATGGCTTTAACAAAGAGAAATTTATTCTCTCACAGTCTAGTAGGC